CCCAAACCTAGCAGGTCCAGCAGAAGGAAAAAGTCTCCTTAGAAGCACTTTAGTTTTGTAGTTGAGTTTGTGATAAGGGAGCATGGCTCAATTGGCCATGATTTCGAACAATAACGCTGTGGAGCAGTCGTCTCAACAGGCGTTTCTTCTGGAGTCGCACACACTTAGCGGGATCAACAATGGCTTTGGCCCTCAGTTGACAACACCATCCTCAAATTTGCGGGGACATAGGTGCACTGTCAAGTGAAAGTTTGCTGAGCATGACATCACTATCCCAAACTTTTCTGGGACGTTGGTGCTCTGTCATTATGACATCACTATCCCAAACATTTTCGGGACGTTGGTGCTCTGTCATGTGTAGAGGTAGACAACCGATTCTTTGTACAGTTTGGCATCGCTATCTCATGCTTCACTGGGACGTTGGCGCTCTGCCATCTTGCGTATATTTTTCAAAAAGCACATGATAATGCTTCCTAGCTGCTGCACTTCGGTGCGGGCTATTCTAATGCTGTTGCTTCGGTACGGGTAGAGATAATTGGTTTCTTTTGCATGTTTTTCACTCTGGATGTGCAACTGCACAGCTGCTACATGTAGCCAGACTTAGTCTGTCCATATGCCCCGCAAGGCTTCAGATCACTGTTGCTGCGTATGGAAATGCAAAAAATTCAATCTTTCTGCGTGTGGCCGAACTTGCCACAATTCCAACACTTAGGCTGATTTTGTTGACCCTGGCCTTTGCCTTTGCCCTTGTTGCCTTTTCCCCCGGCCTTACCCCTTGTGCCTGACTTTCCGCCTTTGGATTGACCCTTGGTGTTTGAACCTTGGTCTGTCTTGCCTTCGCGTCCCTTTTCACCTTTCTTGCCTGCTTTGCCAGCCTTGCCTATTCCTTTGGCCCTGCCTTTTGTCAATGCCATGGCCAGGGCAGCAACCTGATCAATGTCCATGGGAACAGGACAATCTGAGGCTGGTGCGGGAGGTGGCACGACAACGCCCAAAGACCGATGAGCCTCTTGCGCTGACCATGACGATGTGTTGCTTTCGTAGCTGCCGTAGCTGGGGCAACACCGCTTCACATCACTAAATGTGGAACTCTCAGTCGTCTGAAATTGGATGTGCTTGCACGTCTGCTGAGGCAAAAGCCTTATGATGGTACCAAGAAGAATATCAATATTAACGGGGCTTCCGGAGACTTTTTCATATGCTTGGGCTATGCGTTCGGATCCTTCAATCCGCTCTCGCCTCGACTTTTTCTTGCTAAAGGAAGGTAACATCATGATTGCGTTCAACAACGCAAGACCTCTGAAATTCACCAGCTGACGTCAAGTTTCTTACCCACAGTGCCCCTCAACCTGTCGAGCAAACCGGTTGGGAACCGGTTGGGATGGTGCTGCAACAAGGCGACGGCTGCGCTCGGTGGTGGCAGCAGGTGTGGTTGCAATGTTCTGCGCCGAACTCAGGCTCTCCTCTACACTATTCAGCGCAGTTTCACGCATGCCCTCAACGAAGATCAGCCAGGACTTGACTGCTTGCGACCAATCAGGCCATGACACGCAATCGTGATCGTGACTAGTGGCTAGTAGACCCAAAGGATGCAGGGCGATTCAAAATGTGCTTGTAGATGGCGCGCTGCTTTCATTCATTGTACTTGCTGCTACAAGAACGGCTTGATCGGCAAGACGCGTGGACTACATCATTTGTGAAAACTGTGACGCATTGATCTGCGTAGCTGTGGAGGCCGGTTGGGGATCTACTGGGAGGAGCCCAGTTGGGGATCAAGGATTGGTAGTACCGGCATGTACTCTATTGACCTGGTGGGCTCATGGGTTCTGACCTGGTGGGTTCATGGGTGCAATATCACTGATACCATCGTCTGCCATGATGTCTGCTGATGGTCAAACAGGAGGCAATCGGTTGCAAGTCTGGGCTCGGATCACAAGTGCGTACTCACCAAACAAATGGTCACTTACTCAAGAAATCGGCAGCTTGGCCTGAAGAACACGCTGGCTCCATGGAGGACCTTTCGCGGTCCTCACTGCTTGAACCGCTGGTCTGCAGAATGAAATGCCTGGCCTTCTGCAACCTTTCTTGAAGATACAAATCGTTACTCTGAGTATATGCGTTATAAGCTACAATGTGCTTGTGAACCCTGGAGCTGGGCAAGACACGACCTGCTGTCGAGGTTGGAATTTACCTATCCGAGCTATCTCCATAATCAGTCTCCACTCGCCTTTGTGCTCGCGATCCTCCTTTTTCGCACGGCTGAGTGGCAACCACACGCACAATGGCGCGCGCAGCTACGCAGATTTCTAGGTTACAACCTTTTGACCTTGAAACAAAAACAACAAGGAACAGCCTGGGCCCCTGAACTCGAAATGCTATGCCCTAGATCGTGTACCGAAGCTTCAGTCAGCTGAAGCTGCGTTACCATGAACAAAAACACATCTTTTCCAATCATTTGTGAGCATGCAACGCAACGACATGTAACTACATGGTGAAAATCCAAATGTTGGGGTCTTTAGGGGGAACCAAATTTGAACAAATAACCATAGATGTATGTAAAAGGAGCATGCATTGGAATGGGACTAGGAAGTCCGATTCCAACACATCAAAAGGAAGATCGTAATTTGAACATTTTGGTCGGAGATAGAGTATTTGCTTGTTTTGGTTTTTATGAAGTTGGAAAATTGAAGTTTTATCACGTCAGGTTTGCTTGATCGTCCTCGAGCACAGATCAAGTGTCTTTGTGCCCCAACCATCGTTATTTACGATTTCACGCGGGACAGCCACCAAAGTGTACGAGCATCATTCAAAGGTGATTCCAATTGTCAAGATTTTTTTGGCGCTTGCGTAGGCTCACTGACGCAGCAACGAGTCAAGTCGGATATGCAACATGTTCACACAGCGGTCCACGAACCAACAAAAATGTCAAAAAAAAACATGTGGTTGTGTTTGAATTTACATGAATGTGTCCTTAAGTCCAGTATATTCGCTGATTGACGTCTTTGTTTGCGAGCCTTGAAATGTCTAAAGAAAACATGTTACTTTTTCAAGGATCCAGTTGTTTGTTTCAGAACGGTGCTCAGATGTTTTCATGAATTGTTGGTCAAAAGGCCTCCCCAGGAAATGTTCATATAAAGCCATTTAAAAACCATGGTTGAGCAATTAAAGAAGATGATGTCTGGGTTTGCTCCAGAGATCCGCTTGATGTTTGGTTGCGCCTATGGGCTTCAGTATGCTGTTGACGAACAATAGCGATGCAAATCAACCGCGATTTTTTCGGGCACTCGGATTGCTACCCTGCAAGGGCAAAGTATTGGGTACATTCGCTTCACAGAATTTATTGGGTGATGCAAGCGCTTAACTGTTGCTCTCTTGGCTCTTTGTCGAGCGTCAAGGCTCATGACATGAATGGGATTATTCGGGCTATGGAGACCATGTTCTTAACTCCGGGATTTTGTCATTGTCTAATGCATTTTGTTTGGTTCAGAATGCACTTGGATTGGAAAGGGGATTGTAAGTTGCGTGCTGAATTCGATGCGCTGATGACCTATTTGCATGATGCAAGCCTGGAGGCTGGAACACAGAAAACACCTTAAGGGAATTTGGCCGCCGCTGGATTATGGATTCTGAGCATGAGCCTTCCTGCATTTTTTATGGCCCAGCCCTTGAGCTAAGCAACCGTTATTAAGCATCCAATCTCGCAACATCGGATTAACGAATACTCTCGCATAACAAGGGGCTGTTGAGGAAGCTTTCGCCAGTAGGTGTGCCTTCAGCGGTCTACGTCGGGTGCAAAATTCTACGCAAGCAATTCCCTGGCTGCCCAAGGTTGTGGCTGCTGGCACCCATCCTGCGCGGCGAAGCCGTAGAATTCAGAGGTGAGACTTTTGGGTTTACCGTACCTTGTCAAACCAACCATGCAGAGGCTCAGTTAGCAAGTCCTCACCAACCTGCCATGAACGCACGGCTCAAGTGATATCTGACTTGCGCAATGAGCGCCGGTCCAACCGAACCGCGTGTCACACCCTGAGCTTGGCGCAGTTTGTTCATCATGATGCCCACATTAAGTGACGTAACTTTGAAGCGGGTTTGGCTGTTTTTCCGGGTGTATCGGATTCGTCTAGGCACAATCATTCCAGCAGCGCTTGTCATTTCAGCGATGCTTGCATTTTGCCTTTTGAAACCTTCAAATGGAATCTGTTCTCATTATGCCACGCGGATTTGTTACAACTTTGGCCATGCCAGCAACTAAGCGGAGGTTGTCTCAAAATCAGTGGTTCATTCTGGGTGTCCTCCCAAGTAGATCATGCTGCTGGCAGGGGGTTGCAATTTGAGAAGTCCCCACATGGTTGATGAGAGGCTTTCTGCTGAGCTCAGCCTGCAACGGGCTTGTGCTTGAGGGGGAGCAGGGGATTGAATGCCGTCACTATACTGAGGGTATACACGAGCATTCTATCGGGATAGCTTGCAGGATCCACCCAACATTCTACCCCCTTTACATCTAAAACGTAATCCTAAGGGCCTGCAATGCGATGGCTGCTGCCGAGCCTTCTGGTAGCAATTGGCTCGCCGCACCTCCAGGATTCGCTTTTCCAAAGTGCAAGGCTGTTTAAAATCAACTGCACATGCTGGCATGAACATTCACCTTGCAATATTTTGCGGCTGAAGTTTCAGACCCAACTTCACACAATATCTTGATGGACAAGAAGCCAATGTGTATCATCTCACACGTTTCAACCATGACCATGTTGAGACATGCTTCGTATTTGAGCCACGCTCAACAGCAGCACACATGTTTGAAGGTGAGCATCAAGCCACATTTGGTGCACCAACTGAGGTCTTGGGGTTAAACATTTCTGAGCATTTTCTCCCAGCCAACCTGCACTTTGGGGCTCGTATGGATGTGAATCTCGAGGTATCTGTGCGTCTCGCGGGGGTGGCTCCTGTATCGCCATTGCTTGCTGGAGTGGTGCAACTTCTGTATCGCTAGTTGCTGCACAAGCCTCAATGCCTGCAATCCCTAGTTGTGATAATCCCCTGACCGTGCTTCTCCAGAACAATGAAGGGCCATCACTGACAGAGAGAGGGTCTTTCGGAACAAATCAGTTGAGCAGCTGTGGGTGACATGAATGACCATGTTCGAATCCAGTGTTTTTGCAATCCTTCTCAAACGTTCTTGTAAAGACAAAAATCGGGTAATAGTGGAGAATGCAGCCGCTCAGCAAGAAGGCATTGTGCAGTGGCAGGACAGCCATTGTGTGGCCGATGAATTGAACAATGACGAGGAGAGCAGACCGCTGCAAGCTACCTGGTCCTTAAAAGGAGAATTATGGAATGGAACCACTTTCCAGTCCTAACATGCTCTGTAATGATCCCTATAGCTTCCCTAAAACCATTCTCCAATTCCCTGCTAAGCACCAGGCAGACACATCTTTTTCGGGACTCACGTGTCAGAATTCAGTGAACCAAGCAACATACCAACTCAATTGCCCCAACCTGGTATTATAGGTTGTTTGCCGCGTGCTTCAGAGTGTCGAGACTGCTTCAGAACCACTGTGGTGAAGGTGGCGTTGCTGCAGAGAAGCCTCGTTTTGGTCTCCGATCCTGTACAAGTCGATGGCCGGAGGGGCAGTACAGTGCACGTAAGTGTACATGTTCAGTAGCAGCAGTGGGGTTTGCGAAGCTTTGGCAGCATGTGCGCTTGGCTGCACTGCCCGCAGGTGCTGTGAGGACCACGCAGCAGCCGCAGCTGGCTTCGACGCAGGCCCATCAAAGAGCCAAAAGAGCACTCCTTGGTGGGCATTTTTCAGCTTGTGCTCTACTTCAGTTTCAACACAAGCTTCGCTAGTGATGCTTTGTCTGTTTGTTCCTTTGTCCTGCCATCGGCTTGTTGTGACATCTTTTTGGTAGTGACATCTTTTTGTGGTCAGAGTTTTGTGATGCTTGCTTGTCTGCACCGCCTTGAAGCCCCCACGTCACCATGCAATTCAAAGTTACAAAGTCGTTGACAGAAGATCTGTGCAGTTTTACAGGGTCTAGTGTGGACAAGGTGGCGAACAGAGGTGGAAGAGCGGGTGCCAGTTACAAGTATGAATGTTGTCATTCCCCAAGCTCACAGTGGGGTTGTTCCATTTTCAGGAGCCCATGCTCTCCTCGCCCTCCCTGCGGTGCCCAACTGCAGAAGATCCCTGCAGAGTCCAACCGCACAGCATCCCTGCCATGCCCAACCGCTGAACGTCCCTCCAGGTGCCCAACCGCAGAGTATCCCTGCAGTGCCGTGTCCCTGCAGTGCCCTACTTGGGCCTCATAACCCTTTTCAAGGATCCTGTAAAGCCCAACCTTTTAAAAAGACCCTATGTCGGTCTTTCAAGGGACCCTGTACAGCCCTTTCAACTCCCAAGTAAGCCTGGTAAGCCCTTGGAAGGGACTCCATAGGGGACACAAAATTAAAACCCTATGTAAGCCCACAACCTTTGTAAGAGACCCTATATAGCCCTCATAGCTCTAAGGCTATGTAGGCCTCATAACCTTTGTAAGAGACTCTATGTTGGTTTCATACCAAAACTTACGCTTCTATTGGAGTAACATTATCCAGAATCGGTCACCCCCAAGTGCTGGACAACCACACCTTACGGTGTGGATGCTTGACGCATTTTTTGCATTGTCTGCTGCAACTCCTGTTCCGAATACTGCGACCACGTTTACCACCTCCACCACCACCACCACGATTATTACTACTACTACTACTACTACTATTACTACTACTACTACTACTACTACCACTACCCACTACCACTACCACTACCACTACCACTACCACTACCACTACCACTACCACTACCACTACCACTACCACTACCACTACCACTACCACTACCACTACCACTACTACCACTACTACCACTACTACCACTACTACCACTACTACCACTACCACCACCACTACTACCACCACTACTACCACCACTAGCATT